TCTTTCTGTGCCACTGGCAAACAATACAACTGAAGCACTGGTTAAAATGGTTGTCACAAATTGCAACAGGGCTATTACCTATGCATATAATGAAAGGCCAAAAAGTTTCTTCTCCTGTAAATTCCAGAAATCTGTTATCCATTAAAAAATAAATAACCAAATGACATCCACAGATGCCCTTTATTTCATCATTGTAATAGTGATTTTCATCCCTGACACGCAGCAGCATGAACTCAAATATGTAATTCATGAAAATTAGGGTTGTTTCTTAAAAAATTCTATTCGACTCTTCTGGTTATAATGAGTTACTATTTGTCAAACAGTTTTTATGCTTAAGTGAAAAGGTAATGGTAAACAACCACCGGAACTGCCAGATGCAGTATCCCTTTGCTGGGTTTCATGATATGTCTCTTTGGTAAATCTGGGCCCCTGGAGTAACCAGTGCGAATATGAAAATGAGCACATTATTTCACTGTTAACAGGCACTGCTAAGATGAAAGAGAAGGCACGTAGGCCTACTGATGTTTTTATTTTTCTTTTTGCAATGATTAACTGAATAAGAAACAGTATAGCCAAGGTGCTAGAAATACAAAGCTTAATCGTAGAGTTTTAGAACTTCATATATCAAATGCATGCAGTTTATGAGAAGTGTTACACTGTCAACTCACAGCTCAAATAAGATGTCATACTTGACCTTCATTTTACTAATAGGAAAACTGAGGCTCACAGATGTAAATACTAAAGAAATAAACACACAAAAAAGAGTTCTTAGTCAAATAATGAAGGCATGGTAGGTAACAGCCACTGGGATCTCAAGTGTTTGAGAATGCATCTCATTGGCAAAATAGGTACTATCATATCATAATCCCCTTTTCACAGATAAAGGAATTGAGACTGTTAAGTAACTGCCCAGGGCCATGGAGTTTTTAAATCGTAGAGTCAACACTTGCAATGTCTAACTTTGTGCTTCAATCTGATACCAGAGAGTGCAGAATGCTTTCAATAGTGCTATTGCCTATGGCCGTAGTTACTGTTCAAGCAGTTCACAATTGCCATTTTGACATAGCAAAAGCATAGATAGCTATTCATTCACCTTAAGCCAATGCTTCTACATGTCCCAGCTGATTTAGACCACGGGTAGAGAATGGGTTTTGTACCAGGTGTCAAGGCTCTCTCAAAGCATCGGTCATCATCTCCACCTATGATTTATCAGCTTTTTGTCCTACATTTAGGAAACAAATGGGGGATACCAGAGTAACTCATCTTTGGATTCACCAGGAAACATCTTGAGAGTTCATGCCTATGATTTGGTTTGTTTGCTTTTTTATTTCTCAAACTAAAGATCACTTTGAAAAGATTATTTAAAATGCAGGTCCCAGTCTCCATCCTAAGTGATTCTGATTCCATGAGTGTGAGATGGAGTCCAGGAATCCCAATACTTGAAACTCTAAAACAAAATGTAATGGTTCCTTGACCACTACTCTCTATCCTCTTCTTGGAGGCAACCACTTTAGACTCTTAATACTTTTGTCTGGCATTTGTACATCTCTGTAATTCTCTAGTGCTATCAAGATAAATTACAAAGTGTCAGGGGTCTCCTAATCCACATCTCAAATTGGCCCTGGTGTTTCACATTCGATATCATGCAAATATTTGTTATGGACCCACTAGAGGAAGAAAAAGAACATTTATGAAGTCTTTACTTGTGCAAGGTCTTTACATGTAACATCTGATCACTGACTACTTACTGGCACCCTATGAAGCAGGCATTTCCCTAGCCACAGGTGTTCAAGTGGGTGGAGGTCCAGTTTGGCTGAAAACTTAATGTTTGTTCCAGGAAAGCACAGGGCAGAACTCTGGTAGAATCTAGATTCCTATTTTGGGGAGGTTGGAGGATGGAAGCGGGGAGTAAGAAATAGGGAGAAATCTTACAAGGAAATCTATAATGCAACTCATTCCACATATGTTTATTGATTACCTTTTCTAATCCAAGTCCAGTGTTAGGCACTGGAGATGCTATATGAATGGTTATCTTTCTTCCTTCTGTCCCTTCTCCCCTACCCACTTGCTGCAGAGAAGGCACAAAGAGATAATGTGAGTAAAGACACTGAGGAATTGCTGATGAAAGATTTGGACCCCAGAGCCGAGGATCAGACAGTCTTCCAAGTCAGACAGGAAAACTCTTAGGAGGCTGATAAGCCTGGAAAGTCCCCAAGTTACGCACCAGTAGACAGTGAACCAAAGAATACCAAATATACTTGGATGACAATCAGAAAGCCTCTCCCCACTCCACTTTCAAAAATCCCACCATAATAGAAAAATCGCATCTTAAAAGAACACTCATCAATCAAAGACTGTCTTAAGAGTCTCTCCTTTATCTCTATAAAACAAACACTTCTTTCAAATGCCTTCTAGTCTCATTTGGAAGGAAAGTGACAGTAGCCAACTCCCTTAGCATAGTAAAGTCTGAAATAACAGCCTTTGATTAATTCTATAGGTGGTCTTCCTCCTTTTGGCAAAATGTTCAGAGCTCTCAACAAGTTTAAACATTCACTCTCAAACGTTAGCAAGTCTTTGCTCTATCCCAGCGGACCCAGTAGGGCTAATGATGAACAATATGGAAACTCAAACCCAGTCTTGTCAAGAGGAGGGTGTTAAGGAGAGTGATTAGAGTCCAGCTTTGGGAAATTTGATCCCAAGCTGTGTCACCCTTGGCAAGTTACATGACCTTAGAGTCATGTAAATGTCATGTGGAACTCTGTGGCCCAGTTTCTCTCTGGCAAAATGGGAATAACAGTAGGACCCCTTTTCCAGGGATCCTGTGAAGATTAAATAACTGAAAACAAAGGCAGCAGAGTATACGTATCAGGAAAGAGCATCCGTTTGCTATTTAATAAAAAAGAAACATGAGTCCATACTGATACAAGTGAATAAAAGAATTCACTGAAGAATAGTGTTGAGGTGAACTAAATTTGGCCTAAGAAGGACTTGGTACTTCTATATTTGAGTCCTTGTGGACGAACTGCAACCTAGCTTAATAGGTAGACAAGATTGAAAACCTAGCTTAGAAGTATGCGCCTAAAACAATAGCTAAGTCTTGGCCAATCCCAGTGGCCATATTTCAACCATTTATACATTGCTGAGTGTTCAAACTGTTTAAGGTAAACGCCAAGCTGTAACCAATCCAGCTGTTCTGTACCTCACTTCTGATTTCTGTACATCATTTCCCCCTTTTTTTTGTCTATAAATCTTCTTCCACCACGTGGCTGCACTGGAGTCTCTGCGATAATCTGTGATTCTGGGGACTGCCCGATTCTTGAATCGTTCATTGCTCAATTAAACTCTTTTACATTTAATTCAGCTGAAGTTTTTCTTTCATCAGTGGAGATGATGGGAAGACAGCGCAGTTTTTCTGAGTAGAATACAAACTAATAAAGGAAGGATGGAGTTAGACCATTGCCACTTTGCCACCATCGTGGCAATAATTGATTTAAGCAATCATTATCATCATCAAAAGATGCTAAATCTAGTGGGTAAAATTAGGTCTCGAAATGGGCTAGAAATTATATTGAAATAAAAATTCTCAGTTCCCCCACTTTCCGAACAGAGAGGTTAGGAAAGAAGCTAGTAGCAACAATTGTCTACTTGTGTTACATTGTACCTTTTTTCATGATCATATGCTCAAGAATGAGTAAGGTTAAAAAAAAATCTAAAATAGTGCTTAATTTGGGGGTGGGTGGAAGGGATGTGAATCTCATCTCTTATCAGACCTGCCACCTCTGGCAAGTTACTTAACCTCTCTGTGCACCTCCGTTTACTCTTCTGCAAAATGGAAATTGTACACTTGTACCCGCTTAAAAGGTTGCTATGAAGACTAAACAGGTTTATATTTGTCAAGTGCTTGGCACATATTCAGTAACTTTGCTGTTGTCGTTTTTATTACATGTACATTGGTTAGACTCGTGTAAACTCTATGAAAGGGAAATACTCTTGGGACCCCCAAAACACTAAGCTAAAGGGAAAAGTTAAGGTGGGAATTGCTTAGGGCAAACCTGCCTCCCATTCTATTCAAAGTCATCCCTCTGCTCACAGAGATAGATGCACAGCTGATTGCTTCCTTTGGAAAGGCTCATCAGAAACCCAAAAGAACGCAATGCTTTGTCTCCTATCTACCGACAACCTGGAAGCCCCTCCCTGCTGCCAGTTATCTTGCTTTTCCGGACCAAACCAATGTACATCTTATGTACATTGATTGATGTCTCATATCTCCCTAAAATGTATAAAACCAAGCTGTGTCCACGACCGCCTTAGGCACTTGTCGTCAGGACCTCCTGAGGCTGTGTCACAGGCGCGTTTTTAACTTTGGCAAAACCAACTTCTTAAATTGATTGAGACCTGTGTCACGTATTTGGGGTTCACAACTCCAGATGAATGTCGCTTTTATCATTCTGTTACTGGGCTTAAAATCCTCTAATAGCTTTACGTTGATCTTGGTTTAAGGATAAAACAAAACAAAACACCCACAACTCCCTAAGGGATGGAGAGCCTCCCCGACCTCTCCTTGACCCACCTGAAGCCCTGGGCTGCAGGCTCCTCACCCGTCCCTATTCCTTAAAGTCTCAGCTCCAACACCACTGTTCCAGATAGGACTCCGGGACCCCAAGACTAGACCAGGGGTCTCTGCGGAGAGTGTCAGCTACGTGAGCCACCCTTCCAGCACCCACTGCCATGGCGAATATTCGCTTGTTTGGCCATCCAGGGACTGTTTGAGCCCCAAGACCGCAGGGCTCGGGCTCTGTCTTTGCTCAGGACCATAACCCGCGGACTGCACAGTAGGCCCTGAGGCCTTGGGACCGCTCAACGTGAACCGGGGCCAGGTCGGGGACCGAGAGCTCTGCGACCTTAGGAACGCCTGCGCCCCGGAGACCCAGGGGGCCGGCCTGGCCAGGCCCGCCTCTGCCTCCTCCTCCCGCCTGCTTCTGCTCCGACCCCTCCTCCCGCCACTCCTCCGCCTCCTTCCCCTGCACGCGCCCGCCCTACTGCCCCTTGCTGGGTTTCCTGTTTAAGATGGCGTCCCCCGTGGCAACGCAGGCCGGGAAGCTTCTGCGAGCCCTAGCACTGCGTCCCCGCTTCCTGGCGGTCGGGTCCCAGGTGAGCGTGGAGGCAGGAGCTGCGGGCGCTGACAGCGGCGCCCGCCTGCCCGGGCTTCCCTAGCTCCCTGCTGCTCTTGCTCTCCGGCTGGCCCCGTGCGCGGCCCCTCGGGCGCCCCACTTCGGGAGGCGCAGCGGCGCCGCGCCCGGGTCCAGGAGGGACCCCCGCTCCAGTGTGGGGCAGGGGCGGCGCGGGGGTGGCCCCGGGTGCCTCGGGGTGTGAGCGGCCCAAAGCACGGGAGTCTCCGTTGTCTGCCCCTCAGGCTCACGGCGAAGGCGCTGAAGCAGGCGCTGGATGCAAGTTTAAGAAAAGTTTCTCGGACCGGGTTTTGGAGCCCTGAGGTTTTATTGTCAGCTATACTAATTCTGCTTTTCAGACGGCTCGCACTAACCCTGAGCACATTTAGGCCACGCGATAAACATGCCTGGAAACCCATTTCAGCCCAACTAGGAACTCACCCACCCGGGTGAACTTCCTGCGGGCTACCTGCTTTTGCAGACTTTTAAGGTGCCTGAGTTGGTCAAATCCATGGGTCAAGGAGAAAAATGGGAAACGATCTTTCTCCTCTTTTCAATGAAAAATCAGGCCTGTCACTAAAACGCATTAGACAGTTGACCCTGTCCATGTCCTCCTTGTCGATGGAGAATGAAACCAAAGAGGGTCAGTGGTGGGCTGGGTAGCGATTGGAACTTGGCCTCTAGGAGATTTTTACCTTGTGCAGATGGCAAGCGTTACAGTAGTCAGAAGGACTTAAGGGAAGTTTTGAGTTGGTGATGACTCTTGGAGAAATCACTCAACCACTGAACTGGTTAGTCTCCGTAGATTATCTCTCTCCCCTTTTAAAGAAAGCACAGTCACGGATTCAGCCACAGCAGAGTTAATGCCTTGCCTATTTCCCCGTTTTTAATTGATGAGAGGCAAATTATCACTCATACAATTTTAACCAGGATGTGCATAGTATAGTTTTTTAGAAAATTTAAAAAATAGCGATTGACGGTTTTTTGAGTTACTCTAAACTTTGGTTCATTATGACATCTGTGAGCTATTTTTACCCCTCTCCTTTCGTTTCCTGCTTTCCCATTTCTCTGTTATTGTTAATGTAAATTTAAAAGGTGCTAATACTTACTACTGTAATATTCTTAATAGGTGCTTGACAGTATAGTGAGGTAGCAAAGGAATGGCAGTTTTGTCTAATTAAAACTCACTAATAACTTGTTAGTGTTATTACTGTTGTAATACAGTAAGGAGAATACCTCCAGGTGAGTTAAGTCTTATTCATTATTTAAGTGTTAGAAAAAGCAAGAACTAGGGTGCTAACCATGAGTGTAGCCTTGAATTGATGAGAAACATGGGGCCCAAGGGCAGTGAAAACTCATAAATTGTACAGAGAACCCTAAAATGCAGAGTGTTTAGCTGAAGTATGTGAAGCCTATGTGCCTAACCAAGAAACAAGAGGCTGAACGCAGGAGAAAATCTGGTTGGGGAGAGATACTCTTGGTTTCTCAAGAAAACTGGGTAAAAAGATCTGTTCACACACGCCATCTGGTTACTATGATTTACATACTTGTGGATGATGTGTTATTCTGTAATGTCTTAGAAGACAAAAATAGGTTTTTTTTTTTAAAAGATAGAAATGTATACAATGTCCAACAACTGAAAATGGACATTAGCAATCATTTAGTCCAGCCAGCTCATTTCATGGGTAGAGAGATTGAGGCCTAAAGAAGTTCGATGACGCATTCAAGGTTACAGTGAGAGTTTGTGGTATTCCAGAGTAAAGGCTTACCTTTACGTTTCTGTTACACCATGCTGTTTCCTGGTGAGTATATCCTTCCTCGTGAAAATAAATTATATCAACATGCAAATTAATCTGCAGACCAGTAGTAACTGTGTAACATCCAAGTCATTAGCACCAGAGATACATTTTATTTTTTTCTTTATGACCATCTTAGAATTGTCCATTAAAATGGTGAGTATTGCTCATGACTTGTAGGAAAGCCTATTTTCAAATTCTTGGGTGCTTCCTATGATCTGTTTCATGTACACTGATTTGATATTATGTCTGCATAGTCCCTTGCCCGTGGCAGACATTACGGGTAAACATGGCCCACTTCTCCCATCATACTTAAGGATCTTCACCAAGTATCCCAGAAATCTGTTGCCACTCTTGGCCCAGACCTACTTTATACCACCAGGCCTTGTGAAAAACTGTTGTCTCTACAGAAATAAAAGACCCAGTTTCTGCTTAGAGAAATAACTTTAACTGGTCTCTCAAAGATACCCATGGAATGACATTTTGTCTTCCCCCTCCCTATGGTTAAATTTAACATTTGACACATATTCCTGATTCTTAGTGTCGTTGATTTTTTTTTTTTAACCTTTGCTCTTAGCTTTACTATTTTGACTTTTGATTGATAATGTGTCCTTAAAGGGTCCACTTTAGTCATTTCTTATCTTTCATATAGTTTTTATTCAGCCCATACCATTTGGCAGGACTGTTGTAGGCCCTGGGGTTTGGGGGTGGTGAATGAGGCAGGCAGAGTCTTTGGCCATGTGATACTTTATTTTAATGGAGGTGGGAGAGAGTGAGCCAGAACACATATAATGATTTCAGCCAATCACAAATTCTATGAAGAAAATCAGTCAGGGTCATGAGATGGAGAATGAATAGCTTCACAGTAGGGTAGTTTAGACTGGATGATCAGAGGAGACCTATTTCACAGAGTGTGTTTTTGATTGGCATAATTTTTTAAAACTGAAATAGAAGATGTCATGAAAAATGCACAATTATAAATGAACAACTTGATGACTTTTCATAAACTGAATGCACGCCCAGCTAACTAGGTACAGATCAAGAAAATGATCATTTAACAACAACCCAGAGGCCCCCTGGTGCTCCTGCCTGTCATTACCTCCACCCTACAAAGGTCCACCAGTCCCCTGACTTATAACACTGGTTTTGTTCATTTTTGTACTTTATGTAGGTGGAATTATATATATGCATACACATACTTGACATTGCTCAGCATTATATGTAAGTGATCCTGGAGATGGCCTTTTTGACATTTGAACTGAGACATAAGTGATGAAAGGTAGCCAGCTAAGTGAGACTAAAGGGAACAGTGCCGTTAGGCAGAGCAGACAGCAAGTGCAAAGACTGAGATGAGAATGAGCTGGGCATGTCTAGGTAATTAGAGGGGGAAAGTGGTAGTAGACTAGGTCTGAGAGGAATACAAGGGCCAAATCGCATGGAGACCTGCAGGGTCTGCTAAGGAGTTTTCAGGGGGTTTAAACCCTACAGAGGCTGAATCCCAGTCCTGGCAGCCAAAGCACAAGCATGTAATTAATGTACAGTACATACCCCCTATTATAAATCTAAGTTAGGCCGACTTTGAAACTTTTAGCAGAGTAGTGTTCAGTGAATTTAGCAGTAAGAGTCTAACCATGGTTAGAAGTCTTTCCAAAGAACTAAATCATGGTAGACAGGGACCATATTGCTGTGTCCATATAGCCAAGTGAACAGAGTGTGCAGTACTTGGTGGTGTAATACAGCAAGGCACTGCCATGGTGGGCAAGTGCATGCTACCAGTTAAGTCTTAGGGGAAATGTTGGCTGAGGGCACTGAGTTTGAAATGGTTCTTAGTTAAGTCTAAGCACGGTTTTGTTGTCTTTTAGGGTATTTGCCCTCTCTTATGGCTAGTTGAAGTTCATGGAGCTCTCTTGTAGGAGAAGCACTGCCTTTAAGGCCTCCAATTTTATTTTACTTTTTTTTTTTTTTTTAAAGCGTCTCAGTCTTTCACCCAGTCTGGAGTGCGGTGGCATGATCTTGGCTCACTACAACCTCCTCCTCCTGAGTACAAGCGATTCTCTTGCCTTGGCCTCCTGAGTAGCTGGTACTACAGATGCCCGCCACCACACCTGGCTGATTTTTGTATTTTTAGTAGAGATGGGGTTTCACCATGTTAGCCAGGTTCGTCTCAAACTCCTGACCTCAAGTGATCTGCCCCCTTCGGCCTACCAAAGTGTTAGGATTACAGATGTGAGCCACTGTGCCTGGCCAGGCCTCCAATTTTAGAATCATTGTTGTATGTTTTCAATGCAGCCCGGAGCTTCTGTCCAGGGACTCACAGAGGAATGTATGTTGTCGAAGAAAACTGCTTAAACCCATGCCCCTGCTGTTGTATACTCAGAAAGAATGGCTCCAGCCTAATTTTCTGCCTTTACGGAAGTGGGAGGAGAAAGATGCATGCATGGCTTTTATAAGTGAAGGACTAAAGGTTATGTGCAAGTTCTTATCAGCTAAATGAGGCTGTGGCAGCCGCATTGGAAGTTGTGACTTACCTATATCTGCCTCTTGCCTAGGAGAATACATATTTGACATTTTTCTTATTTTAAAATGAAGTACAGCTGCAATTTCTGCTTTTAGAAAAGGGAATCCATCTCAAATAATATAGATGCTAAACTGTTGACCTTCCTTGTGGGGAAGACAATTAAGTGATAGCTTTTGTCCCAAATTGTTTTTTTTTTTTTTTTTTTTTTTTTTACTGTAAATAAGGCATTTCTTTTATGGGTGAGTGATTGAGTGCACAGACCCACAGTGGTGAGAACTTTCCTGCCCTTGTACCCTGGTCTAGTTCTGTAGGCGCAAAGCCCAGAAAGTCAGAGGAATATGGCATATTTGGGGGAGGAAAAGAAATTACAGAAGTAACCTCAGATCATTTGTCCTTCAACTGTCTTACCACTCAATCTTCAATTGTCACTTGATGCATCACTTTCTATTACTTGAAGGAAAAGTTTTACTGAAGAACTTGAGAGATTTGGAAATATTTGAACAAATGATAAGATCAGTACACTAATGAAATTTGTAAGTTAATCCTGAGAGTTTGTGAGGAAGGTGGAGGTGATGGAGAAGGCAGTCCAGGTGAATTCATGCAGAGACAGGTGAGAGAACAGGGGGAGAATAGTTGTAGTGAGCAGTTTAGTATGGAGAAGGGAGAGGC